TGATGCACCCTTCATATTTGCCACCCCAACCCTTATTCACAAGCCTCCAGTCACTTGAAAGAGAATGACAGACTGAGGTCTGGATTCTGATCCTACCACTTAACCAGCTGTGTACCTCAACCTTGCTGAGTTTCTGTTGCCTCACCTACAAATGCAAACACATTTCCTTGCTGGGTTGTTTATAACGATGAGAAAGTATCACGTGTAAAACTCCTGGCATGGTGCCTGGCACACAGCAGGTACTTAATACTCGATAGCTATTATTATAATATTACTGCTCTACTCTTGCATGCTGGAAATTCTCTGAAAGTTGCACTGCCAGGGATCAAGGCTCCAGGCATGAACATATTCAGCTCTCTTCCTTTCTCTCTCTCTCTCGACCGTCTTTTCTCCCTTCCCTCCAAATTCCCACTGTGTTCTCACTGCTTTCTCCAGATGCAGCCCTTCCCTCCCCGTGTCGCCCCTTCGCTGTCCCTTCCCAGGGAGCCTGTGCACAAGGTCCAGAATTATGACTTCCTTCTCTGACACCTACAGCCTTTCTCTCTCCTTTATTCCTCCTCTTGACATCAAACACGCCTCTCAAGAGGGCAATCCTTCCCTGGAACCTGCTGCATCTTTAGCTCTTTTTCTACTACTGACACTCCTGTCCCACCTATGATCTTGAGGAAGTGTGTTACGCCCTCTGTCTTCATTGCAAATGTCCTGCTTTGTCTTTGCCTCCTTGCTTTGCCCCTGCATGTAACCGACACAGAGCCCTCCTACACTGACAGGCCCGCCATCTTTCTCCAGCCTGTGTTCTCGCTGGCGCACCCAACGCTCTTGGATCTCTTCCTGGAAACACTCTCACCCCTTGGCTCTCCTGGGACTGGCGTACCCTGCCCACCTCCTGACCCTCTCCGTTTGTTTTCAGCAGCCCCTTTTACCTATTCCTGCCCCTACCCGAGTGTCTTCTCCAATGCAGTCGGTGGTCCTCCCCTCTCTCGTCTCCTTTCTCATGAAGAAAGTCTCCATCCAGGTGCTTCAACAACCCCTCCCATGGCAGCAGTGGCCAAGGGGACACCTCCACATCCATGCTGCCGGGAATGGTAGTGCAGATTCGGTGCCACATAAGGCAGCAGGTGGGACCCCTGGCCGGGGCCACGTCCACCAGGAAGAAGGCTGCACCTTCCTAATCTCACAAAGATCATGGGTGGGCCGGGCTATTCCTGCTCTCTGCCAACCACCCCTCCTGACAGTCCTTTCAGTACCTCAAATTCCACATGTCTGAAACCGAGCTTGGCGGCTCCTCCCTTCTCCCCAGCCCCCACACCACCCAACCTGTCTCTTCTGTCTGACAGTGAGGCCACCATCCAACCCCTAGAAAGAGCTTTCTCTCCCTCCTTTTTATCCCAATTTCTCCCACCCTATTTTAGAACTTCAGCACTGAAGATCTGGACATCCGTGGGCTCTCAGCCTCTAACTTGCAGGAAGGGATCTGGCCACTGGGAGACACCCAGCAATGTCTGGAGACATTTTGGTTGTCACAGCTGGGGTGGAAGGTGCTCCTGGCATCCTACAGTGTACAGGACGCCCCCCCAACAAAGAATTGCCTAGCCCCACCTATCAGTAGAGCTTCAGTTAGGATACCCTGCTAGTCCCTTCGCCTCTAATTCATCCCAGCTACTTTTCTGAAAAATTTTTTTAAAAAGCAAAACAACAAAACACTTCATCAAGGCAGTTCATTGCTCCATCGGCAACTGAAGTCACAGTGACTCAGACACCGGCATCATGCTGACTTGAGCCCAAGGCCTGGTTCGGCCATTGGCCAGCCTTGTGGCACTCGGCCGTCACAGGTCCCAGAGCCCAGCTGCCTCACCTGTCACACAGGGGCATGATTAGGTGATACAGTAGGGTGATGCACTGACCGCCTGGCAGAGAGCCGGGCACACAGCACATGCTCGGCACACTTCAGAGATGTTTAAATCAAGTCTGCACTTGGTAGTGTAGCCCTGCCACAAACTGACCCAACCTTCTGTGCCCTGCCTCACACCATCCGTGCATCCCAGTTAAGCGCGGCACCCTCGCGGGATACGTGCTGCCTTTCCCCAGCTCCCCACCTGCCCCCCCCCACCATGTTAGTTTCCTGTGCCTGCTTTCACAAGTACCACAAATGCAGTGTCTTATTCACACACGGTCCTGGGAGCCAAAAGCCTGAAATCAGCGAGGGTGTGTCAGCGAGGCTGGGTCCTTCTGAAGGCTCTAGGCAAGGATCCATTTCTTTGCCTTTCCAGTCTCTAGAGCTTTATTCCTCACATTCCTTGGCTTGTGGCCCCTTCCTCCATCCTCAGAGCCAGCAGCGCAGCATCTTCCAGGCTCTGTTTCTCTCACATCACCTGTCCTCTGTCTGTCTGGAGTCAGATCCTTCCATGGGATGATACTGGGTCCACCCAATAATCCAGGCTAACCCCCCACATCTCAAGGTCCTTAACCTGATGACATCTGCAAAGTTCCCTCTGCCCCGTAAGGTAACATTCACAGGCCCCAGGGACTAGGATGTGGATATCTTTGGCGGCCACCATGTAGCCTGGCATGCACATCTTCTGTTCAGAAATGCCCTCCCCTCCAACTCTGAATTCTGCCTACCCGGCAGTGCCCATGCCCAGTAGCTCCTTGGCCAAGTAGCCTCCTATGATCCCTCCAGGCTAATGACCTCTCCTCCTCTGAGACTCTCACATTCCCGCACTCCGTCAACAGTCACTTACGTGCTACGTGGAGCCACTGCCTATTTCCCATCAGTTAGACCCCATGCCTCAGACTGAACCTTGAGAAATAGCTTCATAGCATCCCCTGCCCGCCCCCCAACACTCAGCTCATGGCTTTGCACACAGGGGACATTTAGGCAACAGGTGCTCTGTTGGTGGTTTCACTTTCTACCTTCAAAAAGAAACTGGATTTGAGCCCATTCAAGGCTGACCAACCATTTTAAAAACACACATTGGATGGCAACTCATGTCTTCTTGATGGGGGGGGGGGGCCTGTTGCCCGCATCCACCTGCGAGCAAGCTCTGTTACAACATTATTTGGAAAGCAAAGAAGGTGAATCGAATTGATACTTACCTTCTTGCTTCTCTTTTCAAGGATTGTCTTTGTACCTGGAATATCTTCTGGTATATTATAAAAAAATTACAAGCCAAACCCAGGAACTTCAGGTAATATTTTAACTTTGGAAGTTCATTTCAGCTCCTCCTTGGCGTTTATATAGCACTGTGCATTTTAACCCTGTTTTTTCTCTGTTAATTAGTCAGTCCACATTCTCCAAGATGTGACATGATATCTCCATTTGACACAAAACGATTCAAACAGGGTGGCTAAGATCTCCCAGGAGGGCAAGGGCAAAGACAGGATGCTTGTTGTCTTCTGTCAAAATTATCAGAAAGAGGGACGCCTGGGTGGCTCAGTTGGTTAAGCGGCTGCCTTCGGCCCAGGTCATGATCCCGGGGTCCTGCGATCGAGTCCCACATCGGGCTCCTTGCTCAGCAGGGAGCCTGCTTCTCCCCCTCTGTCCCTCTGCTTGTGCTCTCTCTGTCAGATAAATACAATCTTAAAAAAAATTATCAGAAAGATTTAAATGCCATCAGATCTTGAGAATTATGCTCGTTAAATACACAGCTACCCACAATATGGGGAGCAGGATTACCAGAAGTTACCAGAAGTTAGGTAATGTCCACATTTAGAGGCAAATGATCCTTAGGGATTGTATTGGTAGCTATTGTCATAACAATGCTTTGTAATAAACACCTACAAAACTTCAGTGGCATTCCACAATTACTGTTCACTGCTCACATGTCTGGGGTCAGCCACTAGGTGGCTGGTACACCACTGGTACACCAGTCCTGGACAGGCTTGCCCAAGTGTCTGGCTGTTGGCTGGCCCTTGATTGGTTTAGGCTGGCCTCAGCTCGAGGAGCTATACTCTGCTCCACCTGTCTCTCATCCTCCAACAGGCTAGCCTGGGCATGTTCCCATGGTGATGAGGAGGTACAGGAGAAAAAGCAGCCCAGTCATGGAATGCTTTTCAATTCTCTGCTATGTTAACATCCCATTAGCCAAAGTAGGTCACATGGCTGAGTTTCAGTGTCAAAGCAGCATATGGGTGGTCCCTGCAAGGTACATGGCCAAAGACATGGTGGAGAGAGGGTGAAGAATTGGGACCACCATCATGATCAACCCCACAGACCATCTAGTCCAGCGGTCGACAGACTTTTCCTAAAGCGAAGGGCCAGATGGTCAATAGTTTAGGCTCGCAGGCTATACAGCATCTGTCACACCTACTCAACTGCTGCTGTAGAATAAAAGCAGCCAAGGACAATATGCAAATGAATGAGCATGATGGGCGTGGCTTTGTTCCAATAAAACTTTATTTATAAAGATTGGCAGTGAGCCAGATTTGGCCTGTAGACAGCACTTTGTCAACCCCTGATCTAGTCTTCTTCTTATTTTACAGATATGAATATCGAGCCTCAGAGGCTAGGTGATTATTTCAATGTCACACAGCTAGTTGATGGAAGAATCAAGACAAAAGCTCAGACCTTCTGACCCTAGCTCACTGCTTTTTCTCTTCCACTCAGCAAATAATAACTAATAATTCTAGCTGCCATTAACTGAGCACCTACTCTGTGCTAAGCACTGTGCTAAAAGCTTTCCATCACGCTCTCACTCAGTCCTTACTCTAAGAGGCAGATACCATTATTATCCTTATTTTCTAAATGAAGAAGCATCTTCATTTAGAAAGAAGTAGAGCTGAGATTCTTTCTAGACCGAGAGTCTGAGTTCTTACCTGCTCTACTCTACTGGTTCACTACCAGAAACTAGGCTAAGCATAGTTTTTCTGTGTTTTTAAGAAAGTTTTGTGTAAACCTTTGTACCCGCAAAGGTAAAGAACTTGTAAAAGAAAAATGTTGACATGACTACTTAGTCCTGTTTCCCCCTCATCAGCTTCAGTTTCCTTTCCTCTCGTTTCAGATCAAGATCCACAGTTCTCAGGAAACTCAGCAGTCTTTCATGCAAGAGAAGCTGCGGGAGCATCTGGCAGAGAAGGAGAAGCTGAATGAGGACAGGCTGCAGCAAGAGGAGAGGCTGAAAGCCAGAATCAAGCGGCTCATGGAAGAGAAGGCGGTAAGGCGGTCCCTGTCGTTTTCTTTACTCCTGGAAACTGATAGGCCCTTTCCGAAGGCATGTACTTGGGAGGAGAAATCTCAGCAACTCCTTGTTTTATGCTATGGAAGTAAATTAATTAAATAGGTGAGTAATGTTGGAGGAATTAACATGAAGCTTGAATTCTAAAACTCAACTTGAAACAGCAAACTTATTGAAATTCCCGGAAATGGTACCTTATTAGCTCAGATACCACAGTCAATTTACCAAGTTCGAGTCATTGCTGCCAGTCCTGGTTTGTAACTGACAGACTATCTCTAAGCGCACCCAAGACCAACTTCACATTATTTTCGTCTTCTGCTCTCTCGATACATATCATAGGAAACAAATAGCCAAGATTGTTACTTACTTTTCTAAAAACCAAGCCAGTTACAAGACACTTTGCAGCAGCACCTCTCAAACTTAGAGGTGCCCAGGAAGCACCTGGGGAGGCTGTTAAAATGCAGATTCTGACTCTGGAAGGCCTGGGGCAGAAACTGGCATTCTGCATTTCCAACCAGCTCCCAGCTGGTGCTGAGAGGACAGGTCTGCAGACCACATTTTCAGCAGCAAATCTTGGAGGAAGATTTTCCCAAAGTTACCTGATAAGCACCACCTGGACACTCGTTAAAAATACAGATTCTCAGGCCCAGCCCAGACCCACTACATCAGAATCTCTGGAGAAGGCCAGGAAACAGCATTTAATGAACCAGTTCTCATCTTTGTCCAAGAGTCGGCCCTTTTTGATATTCAGGGACTGCCATGAATTTTTAACTACTTCATTGCCACCACCCTAGATCCGTGGCTCATGACTTAGGCAGCGCTTTTGTCACTTAGGAGATTAAAATGTCCTAATAATGCCTTACCCCTCTCCTCCCACCCCCATCCCCAGGTTCAGCTCTAATTGCAGTAAGGGTGTGGCTGGGACTGTAAGTGCTCCTGGGTGGTTCCAATATGCAGCCATGGTTGAGAACCACGGCATGCTGTCCCGGCTCCCACCCATCAGGAGACCACAGCCCCAGATCTGCTGGACCCCCCTCCTCCCCTGAGGAGGGCTGCACCTGACACCCTCTCCACCTTTCCTCGGTCGCAGCTGCGTAACTTCTGGCTTGGACCCCCCCTCCCTGTCACACGCACCAGCTCTGCAGAACTCTCTGCCTCGTTCAGCCTCTGATTCATGCCCAGTTATCTCAAGAAATCTCTCTCCTCCTTCTACCTCTTCTTCTGTTTGCCCCTTTCTGCTTTTTATGAAGGAAAAGACTAAAAAGGGAACACTAAAAATTGCATGTGGTCCCCTGAAGGCAGTATTAACGATAGCCTTAAATCAAGGTGAGCCCATTTTGAAGGTCAATTTGACATGGAAAAAGCCAGTGTCATTCAAGAGAGGAAAACAAAACCAGAAAGAACTGGAAATCTTCAAAGTCCTCACAAAGCTCTCCACCTGCTTCCTTGCTCCTCCCTGACTACCCTCTCCCTTTCCAAATGTCTTATTTTACTTTTAATTTGGGGTTGACTTTTTCCACTGTGGGTGTGCAGCATTTCAGCCCCACCGTGTTCAATGCCAACTTGGGCACCAGCCTGGACCTCCCAGATGCCCATTTATAACCTCAATCCTGATGCAGACAGGATCCTGAAGCCAGCCTTGCAATTCCCCTTTAAACAGAATGAACCTTAGTGCACACCACCCCACGAGGAGGGGAAAGCACTATCAGGTACCCACCCAGACAGTACCTTGCTCATGGTCATTATTATCCCATTGAGGGTCATCACTCCCCAGACACTTGGTAGATCAACTTGACCTGAGGGACTCAGCTGAAAGTACTGTCCGAGACTTAACAACACGGGTCCCAATTTTATTTCTATTTTTTTAAAGATTTTATTTATTTGAGAAAGAGATAGAGCACAAACCGGGGGAGGGGCAGAGGGACAGAGAGAGAGAGAGAGAGAGAGAGAGAAGCAGACTCCCCGCTGAGCATGGAGCCTGACTCGGGGCTCGATCCCAGGACCCTGAGATCATGACCTGAGCCGAAGGCAGACGCTTAACTGACTGAGCCACCCCGGAGCCCTGCGGGGGTCCCAATTTTAAATGAACCTTCCTTACACCATAAGACACCATCACCCCCACCCTTTCTAAAAACACATGTGTCAAAATTCATTAATTAAACTCCTTCTCATGAATCCTGACTCATTTGAGGACTGTTTGAATAGTAAGAATTTCTAGATTGCTTTATCAAGCTAATCCTTTTTTATTATGAACTGTTAAAAACATGCACTTAACTTGTGCACACACTCATGGTTTAGATCAGGGTCAGCAAACTTTTTCCATAAAGAGCCAGAGAGTATTTATCTTCAGTTTTGTGGGCCGTGCTGCTCTGTCGTGACTGCTCAGCTCTACTATTTGGTGCAAAGGCAGTCATAGGCAATCTACAAACAGTGAGCAAGGAAGTGTTCCAATAAAACTTGAGTTACAAAATGCAGACAGCAGGCCAGATTTGGCTGGTAGGCCATGGTTAGCCAAACTCTGGCTCTCGAGTCAAATGGACCAGGATTCGAATCCCTGCTCATGTGATTTGCTAGCAGATTTGGCAGATTCCTTAGTCCCTCTAAGTCTATTTCCTCCTCTGCAAAATAGAGATCACAGAAGAAACGACTGACCCTTCTTAAGGAACGGTGATCACGTGCCAAGTGGTCCGTGTTCAGCCTCTCATCTGCCCCTCACATTCACCCAATGCGGGAAGCAGTCTTATCGTCCCCATTGTACAGATAGGGAGACTGAGGTTTCTATCACTTCTCACCTTCCTAGGGTCATGCACCTGGAAAGGCCCACCCTGGGGCTCTGATCTGGGCCTGCCCGCTCTGGATCCCTTGCTCCTCGCTACCCACAGTCTCCCCCATGGGGTTGTTGTAGGAGTGAAGAGCTAGCCTGTGCAGTGCCTGGCACAGAGTCCAGATTCCTGTCATGGTAACTTTGTCTATTAAACAACAGTCATTGACTTTCAGGCTTTGGAGGAAAGCATTACTCAAGAGAAAAACAGAGCAAAAGAAGCATTAGAAGAAGAACAGAAGAGAATCCAAGAGCTGGAGAATTGTTTAGCCCACCAGAAGAAGGTATGCTGCTGGGGGAGACAGAGTCAGCCTGAGCCCAAATCAAGGTCACGTACCCAGGGAGGACCAACCTGGGGCTCTGAACTGAGCCTGCCCGCTCCGGATCCCTTGCTTCCGGCTGCCCAGTCTCCCCCGTGGGGTTGTGGTGAGCAGCGAAGGGCTACCAGGGTAGCTCCTGGCACAGAGTCCAGGTTCCTGCCATGGCAACTATGTCTATTAAACAGTGGCCATTGGATTGCAGGTCTGGGAGGAAAGCATTACTCAAGAGAAAAACAGAGTGAAGGAAGCATTAGAAGAAGAACAGACCAGAGTCCAAGAGCTGGAGAATCGCTTAACCCACCAGAAGGAGGTATGCAGCCGGGGCAGATCGTCGGCTCGAGCCCAAAGCGGGCTCGCGGGCCATGTGGAAGTGAGCTGTCCTTGGGAGGGTTCGGCTACTCTGGGAAGCAGTGGGGCTCAAGGAGAGAGCCCTGGAGTCGTAACTTTGACAGCTAGTTGGAAAAAGTGTAAACCTGCAGACGTAGGTAGAACTTGAGAGACAAGTTGGGGCTGGTGACACAGCATCTTCTGCATGGAGATTGTGTCCCAAAGCATAGACGTGGAGGAGGTACAGGGTCCTGGGACTTCAGGGCTGTGTCTGTCCTCCCAACAACATCCTAAAATCATCCAGCCTTCAGCTCTACCATCAAGGAATTTTGTACAGACCAGGGCAGTCCAACCCAGTGGTGATGCCTTGGGCTGGCAGAAAGTTCTTCCTTCAGGTTGAGCACAAGAAAACTCTTTCTCCCAGAAAAGCATCAATCCCCCACCGGCCTCCCGGGCCCCTGCAAGACCTGTCCACCTCCTCATCCACATAATAACCTTTTAGAAGCTTGGAAATGAGACATCTGCTCCTCCCAGACCCGAACGCCCTTCTTTCTCCTGGAGCCTGGCCTTCGTCCCCTCCTCTGGCCTGCTCTGTTCTCCAGAAGGCACAGATTGGCAGCTCACTGGCTGAAAAGGGCCTGGGGACATGTTACGTTTGGCCCCCAAGTATTTTATTTTGAATTCATAACATTTACTTAAAAATCCAGATTTCCATCCTCTCCTGAAAAGTCAGAAAATCTGGCCCCATTTCCACTTGGCAGAAGTGGATGGGAGCTCAACCAAGCAGCAGGGATTTCCCACCGTCCCCAACATTCCCTGTTGCGTTCAACGCAGCCCACTTCCTTGCTGGCATCTGTCTGGCCCCTGTTGACATCTGAGTTTGCAACTCGTGCTCTGTTTTCTTCCTGAAGTGCGGCGGCCAGAATCGGCCCCGGTTCTCCAGCCATGGTGGCCCAGGGCAAGACTCTGCTCCCCTGTTGAAGATTTTGCACTTGTACTGACGCTCCCAAACCAACTTTGGGGAGCGCTCTATGACATTGTCGGCGCAAGCTTGCCTTGTGGTCACCCTTGGACCTCGGGGTCTTTTTCACATACTGCTCTCATGAGCTCTTGCACCCTGAGGCAGCACAGAGGGGTGAAGAGTGCAGGCCTTGCAGCCACATGAGAAGCAGGTGCAAATCCTGGCTGCACGACCTACAGGCCTCAGCAGCTCGCTCAGGACCCTCCTCCTTTTGGGGTGGCTGCAAGGGTCGGCGGTCATGTGCAGTGAAGCATTTGACCCAGAATTGCTGCTCGGTCAGTGTAGCTGTTAGAATTGTCACAAGCCCTTTTCTCCCTATCGACCCCCTCCCCATCCTCACTGCCCAGAGGGAAGTCCTCGCCCACCCACCGTTGCTGGAAAGACAAGGAGGCGGGCCGGGCAGAGCCCGTGTGGTCCCACCTGATCCAAGGAGGGAAGATGTTTATGTGCCGGGTGTCACCTGGGGTCACCTGTACGGCTGTGCTCGGCGGCCTGGGTAAACAGTGTCACTGAGGCCTGGCCCTGAGTTATCTCTCCAGGGGTGCTGACGAGGAACAGTCTCCCAAGGGTTCACGGGGGCCAAATGCCACCGAGAGGTCAACAGCTCAGCTCGAGGGCCCGGGGCAGGCCCTTGAATTTAGAGATGTTGAGGTCATGGGGGACTTCAGGAGAGAGATTTAAGGAAGAAGGTGTGATGGGGTCAGCCTTACTGCAGGGAGGAGCTGTGGCCGGGTCACCCCAAGCCTCTCCCAACAGAACCTCTCTGTGGTTTCTTGACGGGGAAATCTGAGATAAAAAGTCCCAGGCACAGACTTTAATCAACCTCAAACGGTTATTTGATTCTTCTTTTTATTAGGCTTTCTGCCATGTTATCAGATGAATCTTTAAGGGCAAAAGAATGCTAGGTTGTAATGCGAGTTTTGAGGTAATGTTAGAGATGAACTCCCATTACCTGCCTGGGAACTTGGGAGCAGAGCAGCAGAGGGGGCCAGGGTCCGTGTGTGTTGAGTCGTGCAAGGACAATCTTCCCCTTAGTGCCCCTCTAAGCAGCAAAGGAGCTGTCGAGAGCAAAGTCGTGAGTGTAGATGCGAGATCAGATGCAACGGAGCTGACCCTAAGTCACTGGAAGGTGCTTGGGAGTCTCTTCCACAAATTACAGGAAACCCCGACACCCCCCAAATGTTCAAAAGCAGTGTGCCAACTCCCATGATGCTACTATTCTTCTGCTTTCTTTAAGGCTGCTATTGGGATTTTTTTTTTAATGACTTTTCACTACAAAATAGATAGTATTTCAGCCAGGCTCATCTGGGCAGGCTAATCTGGGACCCTAACCACGGGTTATAATGGAAACCATGTTCCAAGTTCCAGACATCTTACCGTCAAGCTGGTGCTTAGAACTCAACCCATTGAAAGCTCACGTGCCCTTTCTTGCAGGGACTAGAAACAGGGGCCTTGGGGGCAATTTCTATCCTTTGCGATTGGCGTTAGCCATTTACTTCCTAAATAAAATTCCTTGAGCACGAGCACCAGACCACGCTTTTCCCCATATGCCCTCTCCGAGCTCCACGTGTGAGGTCCACCCCCACCCCTTCTAGAAATTGGTATGTTGCGGCTCATGAGTTTAATATACTGTCCGCATCTTGAAACCTGGTTCTCTTTAGGAGATTTATTTTAATAATAGGATATCCATTATTAATGAGATTCTTCTCCTTATCAGAGCGACTGCCTGGCGCAGTGATAAGAGCTCGGGCTCCAAAATAAGACAGACCCGGTTCCCTCTGTTCACATGCTCCCTGCCGAGGGCCTCCGGATGCAGGCCATGGGCCGTCCTCCGCACAGGGCTCAAATCCTGACCTCACCTGCAACAAACTGCATGACCCCTGGGCCTTCCACAACTTTCTGTTCCTCGGCTTCCTCATCTACAAACTGGGGCTACTAACTCGTCTGCTAGGGGCACCGTGATAGGGTTCACTGTGTGTGACGTGTTAGCCATGGGCCCCGTCAGGGATACTCACCACCCCCCAGCGTGGGAGCAGCTACCACTATTAGTAGTATGGTCAGAATGAGCAGTTCCCCCCCGAAATGCGCAGGCAACCGAAAAGACTGGTCATTGATTTTCAGGTTTTGGAGAGCAGCATGGCCCATGAGAAAAGGAAAGCAAAGGAAGCTTTAGAGACAGAAAGGAGAAGAGTTCAAGATCTGTAGAACCACTTGACCCAACAGAAGGAGGTACGAGGAGCAGAGAGATAAATGGGCCATAGCAGCCAAAACCCCTGTGGAAGGAGCTCCGAGGCCAGACAGGAGGCCATGGTTCTACGCCCCAGTGGAGAATATGGCAGGCCAGTGGGCGGGTGCTGGGTGACACTTCCTTGGGAAGTGGCCAATGTCGAGTACAGCTCCCTAGTTGTATGACCTAGGGCAGGTCACTTAACCTCCGGGGCCTCAGTTGCCTTCTCTGTAAAATAGGCATGGTAACAGCCCCTGCCTGGCAGGATTAAATGAGTAAATAGGCAGAGGACTTAGACCTGCACCTTGCACGTAGATGGCCCTCTACATAAGCATTCCCCGCCCAGCCACCGAAGGCAGAGAGATGCGCTCCAGGAGAGAACCCTTGGGTTGGGGTCTGGGTCAGTCCCTCAGCCAGCACCTCCCTCCTCCTCACGGAAAGGTACTTATGACACAACCCAGCACAGGCGCTGTAGAAAGACACTCGCTCCCAGCTCTGGTCTCCTGGTTTCATAGACCTTTTATAGAGACACAAAGAGTTGTGGAGTAAGATGGCATAGACCGGTACCTGACAAGCTCACAGAGCAGTCCCACGAGCAAGTGCCAGAGATCCGGAGTGGATGAGAAGTGCACCCTCAGGGAGAGGGTGACAGTGGTTTGGGCAGGCCCGAGCGCCCTGCCTGGGGAGCGCTGGAGACGTCCACCTCTAGCCACGTCCACCAGCCTGGGGACAGGGCCCACCAGCTGCACCGGCCTGGAGTAGTCATGGAAGGGAAGTCTAGGGCTGAGAGGAGGGATGTCACTCAGGTTAACCCGAACACCCCAACCGCCCCCCCCCCGCCCCGCGAGAAGTCAAAGAAGGGCTCTCGGGAGCTGGAGGCCAGGGAGAGAACTCAGTGACCTGTAGTGGCAGCTCCGTGAACTGGGCTCCAAGGCCGCAGGGGGCACAGACATGGGCTGGCCCTCAGGGAACTCCCAGAAACAGAGTGCTGACTCCATGAATTGTTCGATTCTGTTTCATTCATCTACCCACAAATGCTTCCCGAGCACCTAGCATGGGCCAGGCCCTGTTGGGCATTGGCAACACCACAGTGCAGTCCTCCCAGAGCTTCCGCTCCAGGCTGAGGGACAGACACCACATAACCAGGGGCACACGAGAACTCCAGGGCCACAAGCCTGCGGGGAAGATCAAAGGGGTGGGCTAGAGAGTGGCCACAGGCAGGGAGGGCCTCTCTGAGGAGGTGACACTTGAGTGAGACCTGGAGGGGAGAAGGAACGTGAAGGGAACATCTGGGGGGGAGAAAAATGCCACTGGGTAAAGTGGCCCAGCTGCAGAGGACAGGGACCTCCCTTAGCTGGAGGGACAGGGGCAGCGGTGTGAGGAAGGAAACAAAGCTGGAACAAGATGAAAGCCAGATGAGGGGTCCGGGGAAGAAAGCCGGAGGGAGACGCAAAGGCGGTAAAGCAGGAAAGCTTGGTAGGCAAAAAGTGCCAATTCTGGTTCAAATCCCAGCTCTGCCCCAACATGCTGTTTGACCCTGGGCAAGTGTCTTGCCGTCTCTGTGCCCCCATCCGTAACGTGGGTGTAGTGGCAGAACCACCCTAGACATTTGTCATGAGGAGTCAGTGTATTCATTATGAAGTACCTGCCCAGCTGAGGTCAGCGTCCAGGTGGGGTGGGGAGGATGGTGTGGGTCTAATGGGGTGGGGGGGTGGGGAGGCAGACAGTCCAGCAAAGACCTTGGCAGTGGGGCTGTGTCAGCCCGTGCAGGGAGTGAGGTCAAACTTAGCAGCTGTGCCTAGAGTGTCCCTTATACAGATGCGCCAGGAGTGGGGTCTTGAGGCACTGGCTCCCGCCGTGGTGCGGTGGACTCTGTGCCCGACTAAGTATGGGCGTAGGTCTCTGCCTCTGGGGAGGGTGGGTTTTTTTTTTTTTTTTAAGATTTTTATTTATTTATTGAGAGAGAGAGAGTGATAGAGAGAGAGCACGAGAGGGGGGAGAGTCAGAGGGAGAAGCAGACTCCCTGCCGAGCAGGGAGCCCGATGCGGGACTCGATCCTGGGACTCCAGGATCATGACCTGAGCTGAAGGCAGTCGCTTAAATAACTGAGCCACCCAGGCGCCCGGGAGGGTGGGGCTTTAATCAGGACGACACGTAAGTCAAGATCCGGAAGCCGAGTGGCCGTATGATTAGGGCAGGGCACTGGTGTCCAAGCGTGCGCCGCCACTCCCTGGTGGCGTGACCTCTGTACGTTATCCATCCCCTTACTGCCTCGGTGACAGCCACCATGACCTCACCTGCAGAATGCAGCTCACTGGGCAGACGTTCTGGGGGTTTGCCAATCAGACGCACGGATGCGCTCAGTGCCTGGTGCCCAGCACTCGTGTGGCAAGCATTTCAAGGGGAGTCAGTATCATCATTATTTTCAACTGTGACACGCCAAGTGGCGCAGAATCCCACGGGGCATGCAGAAGGGGGCCGGCAGCCTCTTCCAACTGGCAGGGTGGGGGCTGGGCCATCTTAAGCAGACTTGGCAGCAGGCAAATGCCAAGCTCGTGCAGGGAGGTGAGTCAGAGCCCAGGTGGGGCTGGAGGACTGTGCAGAGCAGGGCAGGCGGGATGGTGACTGCAGACACATGCTCCGATGGCAGGACTGTTGGAAAGACTTTTTCTCCAGGGCCACACAGCCCCAAAGCCTCGTCCTACCCCCCAGCACCGTATTCCCTAGGACAATTTGCAGTCATTTTTCTTTTTGCCAAATAATGTGTGTTCACGCAAGAAAATATAGAAGATACAGACCAGCGAAAAGAGGAAATGTAAATTGCCCTAATCCCAATCCCCCCAAATAACCGGTATTTATATTTCAGTACACATCTCTTCAGGCCCTTGTCTATGCATACATGCATATATTTTTAAAATATTTTTCTGTGAACTTTGTGTTTGTATGGGAGCATCACCGCAAGGATTCCAAGCTGCAAAGTGAGTTTTCCAACCCCCCCTGCACCGTGTACCTCCTGGGGCTTGTGTAGGTGAGGCTGGTCCTCAATCCCCACCTCCACATCACCGGACCCGCGGGCTACATGTTCTCAGTTCCAAACTGTCCTGGACATCAAATTTTGGACCCAAGCCTTTGAAGGCTGGAGAGAGCCTGAAGCCACGGGTGTGTCAGGTCTGCTGGGACAGGAGGCGTCTCCCCTCCACTTTGCCCCTCCTGCCCCACCTCCCAAGAAGCCAGGTACTTCCCAAAGGAGGGCCCACATTCCAGTTCAATTAGTGGCTCAGCGCCAAACGCCTTGACCTGAGCACTCACCAGCACGTCACTTCCTGAACACATCCCCGAAATCCTGAACGATGAATAACCCTCTCTTTTATGCGGTAACTAACCGGACATGACCTTCAGGTTCTCGCTGCCGTGGTGGGCATGCCAAGACTCCCACCCCTCTCTCCCTTGAGCATCCTGTTCCCTGAGCCCTTACTCCCAAGCCCTGACTCACTGGTCTGGGCGATTACTAATCCTGGCTTCCCTCATGGTGCCCCTTCCCTTCCTTCTTCGCGTACACTCCCTCAAACCAGTTGTCCCTGACTTCCAGATTTCAGAGAGCAGCCTCGCCTACGAGAAACACAAAGCAAAAGAGGCCATAGAGAAGGAAAAGAAGAAGGTGCAAGATCTGGAGAACCACATAACCAAGCAGAAAGAGGTAAGAGTCTCAGAGAGGAGCAGACACGGAGACGCCCAGCACAGTTAAGAGCAGGGCTCTGGAGGCAGGCGGTCTGGGTTCGAATCCCACCTCTGCCGCTTTCTGCCCATGCAACCTGAGACAAGTGTCTTACCATCCCCGTGCCTACGTTTCCCTACTTATGAAGTCCAGATAATGCCCATAGATCAGCCCCATCGAGTGGTGAGGCTTGATTGCTCACAAGTTCATAAAACACAGAGGAAATTGTCTAGCACTCAGTGAATGCTCTGTGTGTTGGCTCCTTTTATTTTATTATTATTATTATTATTATTATTATGAGCTCATAGCTGGGATGTGGAGGGGCAGAACCGAACCCCGCACTGTCTCCCTCCTCTCCCTACTAATCCTTGATCAGTGTGTGGCCTCAGCTGCCGGGGGTCACAGAGGGGGTGTCAGGAGAGGGATGCCTGAATTTTCCATCACCTGGACAGCAGCGTCTCTGCCGAACTTGTCCCCGTGGGTACCACGACCTGCCCAGTCAAACCGCACTGACAGTTGTTCCTGGGAGGAGCAGACAGGTTGTTGATGGGACCCTGTCTTAGGCACCTCCACTCTGTAGGACAGAATTCACTCCTCCTGGGTCCCAACAATACAAGGGACACACACACACAATGGCTAATATCGAAAAAGTCAAGGCAAGGGATTCAACACACACCCTGACAATAGGGGGTTAAATTTCAATGCAGGTAAACACAATTTCAGAGGACTTTGAAGACCAGATGGGACGAAAAAGGTCTTTGCGTCTATTCACATCAATCTTAGATCATTTTCTTTAAAGCAAGTTTCCCAAACATTAGCATGCATAGAATCACTTGAGGCAGGGTTGGAGGGGAGGTGTTTAAACGCGCATTTCCTGAGCCTTGCCCCTGGAGATTCGGATTCACCATCTAGGGGGTGGACTTAGCAATCTGCATCTTTAACAAGCAGCCCCATGTGGTGCTGGTGCATTTGAAACACCGCTGCCCCAGAGAGATGGGCATCCGTAAACCACATCTGCATGACGTATCGGTCCCAGGCACGGCTTCCTAAGAGGGACCTTAACCAACTGGAGCATGCCCAGAGAAGGCAGACCAGAGTCGAGGGAAATGATGCAGGGCTTGTCAGCCGAGGCTGGTGCACTGAGGGAGGGCGGGCAGATGCCACGGGCCCACAGAGCCCCAGGGGCACAATCTGTTCACACACAGCCTTGTTTCCCCAAACGATTCACCATGGATCTTCCATAAAACACTTCAGTTCGGGACAGGAGGAAAGGAGATATTAACATTTTTAAAGTAGATTAGTGAGGACATCAAACAATCAGGGATGAGACTAATGCCAAAAAAAAAAAAAACCCACAAAGAAATAAAAAAAACGTGTATCAGTGAAATCAACAAACGGTCAGTTTTTACTCTAACAGTTACAGCGAAAGGGAGGGCTCAGGGGGCTGCACAATTCTCTGGATCAAAGTGAACCGATGGCTCGTGGATATTGAGCCATTCTCGGTACTCAACCCAGAGAGAATCTGTCCTAAGGATCATCAGATAGAGGACGCTGCTGTGCATCCAACACCCTCAACAGCCTCAGGGAAAACAACAGTGACATCAGAGGGCTAGGTCTTGTGACAGCCCTCCAGGCAGACCGGGGGCATCACACCGGACAAGGAGAAACAGGACCCCTCCCCAGGAAGTCCCCACGTACCAGGAAATACCAAGGAAGGACAAGGTCAAAGAACCACCCAGACATAGAGTTGCTTATTCACATGCTGTTTTACTCGTGTACACAGAAGAGCAATGGGCACAAAAGAAAGAAGGAGAGCAGGGAGAAGAAAAATAAATCCAGACCCGGGGGCACAGCCAGCTTTATTGTCCTGTCCTTGAGTCAAAGAGGCTGAGCGCTTGGCAAGGAGCAAAGACGCCTGGCAGCGCGTTCTGCCCTTGGGCAGCTTTGCGGCCCATCAAAGAAACCATCGGTTTGCTGTGGATTCTCCGGGACAGCTGGAGTGTTTCGCTGCAGGTGATGGGCGGCTTCGTGGGATGCCTGCCAGCATCTCTGGTGAGCACCTTCTCTGGCCAGGGCTGCACGCGGTCTGCACTGCACTGGGATTTCTCAACAGTCACGGTGATGTGAAGGCCCCGAAATAGAATCAGATGGAGTTCAGTGGTGATATGCAGAGAACCAAGTGGCTCCCAGGTGAGGCTTACAGGAATCGCATGACAAAAATGGATTTTTCTTGTTGTTTTTAAATCCGTTTCCCTTCCCAATTATAAAAGGAGCAACTATTTACAGAAAATCATTCCGAAGAAGATAAAAAACTGCCCATGATTTCCACTGAGCAGAGTTACCACTAGTGACATTTTGATGGGCTTCCTCCCAGACCATCTACACGTTGATCCTTATTACAGACATCGCAAACATCCATTTGTTACAAAGTGATTTACCCTGTTACTCTGTGGACCCTGACCTGGCTGCTCTATTTTAACTGAATACATTACCAAATGTCTCTGTGGCATGGAACATTCTTCCACGACCTGCCATGGACAGCAGACCAGGGTTTGCACTGTGTTGGATGGACCCCAATTTATTGACCTGTCCCCTGTGGTTGGGCCCTGGGACTATTTCTCACTCTCCACTCGAGTAAAATAACGCTTGGCTGAACAGCCCTGCACGTCAGTCCTCGTGAATGTGTGCAGTTATGTCCTTAGGATAGATTCCCAAAAGTGGAATCGCTGGGTCATAGGGTGTAAACATGTTCAGCCTCTTGATACACGTTCCCAAATAAAAGGTCCTACCAGTTTACACTGCCGGCAACAGAGTCTGCCAGCACTACATAATCATTGACGACTGTTTTACATTGGATGAAATAATGTTTGTGAAAAGCCCGCCTACAGTACGATTCCAAGTCTGTGACATTCTGGAAAAGGCAGAACTATGGAGACCGAAGACCAGGGGTTGGTGGAGGGGAGGGATGACTAGATGGAGCACAAGGGATTTTCAGGGCAGTGAAATTACTCTGTACTATACTATAATGGTGGATACGTGTCATTATACATTTGTTCAAACCCATAGAGTGTACAGCCCTGAGTGAACCCTATAGCATAAACTATGGACTTTTGGTGACTGTGATATGTCAGCGCAGGTTTATCAGTTGGAACAAAGGTACCCTCTGGTGCAGGATGTTGCTGATCCCGCACAGTGGAGGGGAGAGAGCATATAAGAGAGCTCTGTATTTTCCTCTCAATTTTGCTGTGAGCCCAAAACCGCTCTTCAAAAATAAAGTCAAGTAGGGGTGCCTGGGTGGCTCAGGCAGTTAAGCATCTGCCCTCAGCACAAGTCATGATCCCAGAGTCCTGGGATCAAGCGGGGAGCCTGCTTCTCCCTCTGCCCCTCCCCCACCCCGCTCATTCTCTCTCTCTCTCCCTCGCTCAAATAAATAAATAATCTCTTTTTAAAAAATAAAGTCAAGTAAATAAAGTTCATGAAGCCCCCACCCAGGACCAGTCACAAAGCTTACATTCCGCATGGTCTGAAGAGGGGCTCCAGAAGGAGAGTAGAATTTTGGGAGTCCAGGGCTGGAAGAGTGGATCCAGGAGGAGGGCTGAGGTGTGCACGGACGTGACGAGGGGAGTCCACCTTGCCGGGGCCCAGAGGGAAGAGGGGAGGCCATCCCTCCGAAGCCAGGGAGGGATGCGGAGGAGGGTGCTGAAGGCAGATCCTGTGGCAAAGGGGTGAAGGAGCTCGGTACATTTATCCTGGAAAATAGATTTAGAGAGAGACATGACAGCCCTCCTCAAATATTTAAAGGGCTGTCTCATAAAAGAGAAATAAAACTTGCTCAGTGCACTCCAGGTGACAGAACTGAGCTCAGAGACCAGAAATCACAAGGAGACAGTCTCAGCAGGAGAGAAAAGCAAGCTCTATAGTAATTGGAACCTTCCAGAGAAAGCATGGACTTTGGGCTGAAAAAGGGACAACAACAGAATAGAGTTCACCTCCTTTCTGAAAATGGGGGGCCGGGCCAGGGGGCGGCTAGGGTAAATATTCATTCCTGAATTTCTGTTAATTTGATGTTTGCTATTTGTCCAGGAAATAGACTTAAAAGTGCAAAAAGAAGATGTTTTAAATAATAAATTAAATGACGCACTGGCCATGGTAGAAGAGACTCAGAAAACCAAGACAGCCGAGAGCCTAAGAGCAGAGAGCCTCACCCTGAAATTAAATGAAACGTTAGCTGAACTGGAAACCGCCAAGACAAAAATGGTGAGTTGGTGCCTTCCGGGGACGGGAGAATCTTTCCCTCGATGAAGGATCACAGCACTGGAGGAACTCATGATTTAGACCAGGGGCTCTCAGCCTGGGGGCTGCTGGTGCCCCAGGCTCATTAACCCTTTCTTGTGCACAGCCGTCCTTTGCATCACAGGATGCTTAACATCACCCCGGGTCTCACCTGCTAGACACCAGTAGCAATCTCCCTCGACATGTCAGCCCACAGTGTCTTCAGACTTCGCCAAATGTCCTTTGGGGGGCAAAATCACCCTCTATTGAGAAGCACTGGTCTCAAATGAAAAGTGACCTGAGGCTACAATGCCCTCTCTCCAGGAGTTCTAAGATGTTGTAATACAGGGTCCTCACAGGATCAGGCTGAAGGACTGAGCAGCCCCAGACCTTAGTAATCAATGACTATTCCACAGACTTTAAGATAATGTTTTAAAATTTAGCTTGGGGGCACCTGGGTGGCTCAGTTGGTTAAGCGACTGCCTTTGGCTCAGGTCATGATCCTGGAGTCCTGGGATCGAGTCCCGCATTGGGCTCCCTGCTCAGCAGGGAGTCTGCTTCTCCCTCGGACCCTCCCCCCCTCATGCTCTCTCTCTCTATCTCATGCTCTCTCTCAAATAAATAAATAAAATCTTTAAAAAAAATAAAATAAAATTTAGCTCGGCATTCAAGGCCCTCCACCATCAGGGCTCAATATTGCACTCATTCGTCATTCATACATTCAACCAACAGGTCTGTGGGCAAGGAGGTAATGAGGACGCATCTGGCCAAAGTGTGCAAAGTGAATTTGAGAGGGACTGGAGTTGGAGAGGCCAGCTCAGGCTTTGGCAAGACAAGACATCTCAATTTAGAGGAGGCATGATCGCTAAAACTCTGTGTGTGTGCGTGTGTGTGTGTGTGTGAGCTTCAGGATCGGGGGCTGCGGCCCAACGTGTCAGCCAGGAATAAGGAGCAGGAGTCTGATGTCATCAGGAGAGCTGAGGTCGGAGAAGCAGGAGGGCAGCAAGGATGAGAGCCATCGAGAAGCCCCGAGAAGAGCCTCAGGAAGGGCAGGGCAGCCGAGGGAAAGGGTCCAGCTCACCTCTTGGTGATGATTGGGACTTTTTGCTTTTAAGAAATAGAAATTTGGGGCTCCTGGGTGGCTCAGTTGGTTAACGTCTGACTCTTGATCTCAGCTCAGGTCTTGATCTCAGGGTCGTGAGTTCAAGCCCCACGTTGGGCTCCATGCTGGGTGTGGAGCCTACTTTAAAAAATAAAAAGGAAATTAAAAAAAATACAAATTCATTCTCTTTTTCTTATAAAATTGTTCATTTGTTAATTCAACAAATACTTATTGAGCATCTAGGTCTAGATGCTATGGCAGGGATCTAGGCACTGGCACTGTGGGTACATTGGTAAATTAGGAAAAGTAAGTTTCTGCTCTCCTGGAGCTTACATTCTAGTGGGAATGGGAAATAAAGAAACAAAATCATTCAGATGGTGATAAGTACATCACAGAAAATGAAAGCAGAAGATGGAATAGAAAGTGTCTCGGTCTGCTCCTTTAGACAGGCAGTCAAGGAAGGGCCTCTCTGAGGAGGTGACATTGGAGTTGAAACCTGAAATATGAGAAGGAGTCAGCCGTGCAAGGAGCTGGGGGGAGGAGAGTACCGTGCAGAAGGAACAGCACGTGCAAAGGCCCTGAGGTGGGTCCAAGTTCCATGCCTGTGGGTGCAAAAGGGGCATATTGCTATTGTCGTCCTTGGCATCACACCCAGCTCCCAAGATCACACTAATGATGTCCCTGTTTTCCCAGCTCATCATGGAGGAGCGGATACAGCAGCAACAGCAGACAGTGAAGGCCCTCCAGGAAGAACAGGACTCACAGAAACACGGATTTGAAACAGAAATCAGGGAATATAAGGAGCAAATCAAACAGCACTCCCAGACGATCGTAAGCCTCGAAGAAAGACTCCAAAAAGTGACTGAGCATCATAAAAAAATAGAAGGAGAGATTGCAACCTTGAAGGACAGCGACCCAGGTCGGTCCAAAGAGAAGCTAAGGAAATCTTAGCGTTCAGGGCAGGTTCTGATTATCCCGGCGGTCTCAGTAGGCTGATGATGGGCCAGAAAATGCTGCACCTCGCTTGAACGCTCCTTTTTTCCCTGGAGGCATCATTTTCTTCCCGTTACACACAAGGTTAGGGGCCCTCGAGGCCCAGGTTAGGCAGAAGTCACAACAATGGGACGGGACATCCTTTGTGCCGAGCCAGTGAGCCAGCGGAGATGCACAGACTACCAGGCCTTTCAGAGCCTTCTCTCTGCCCTCAGGAGTTTGCGATTTTGTCTAATGGCCTTTCATAAACAGCTTTAAAAAGAAATCCAAAAGGGGCTGAGAAAAGAACTCAAGGTTGTGAGCACGTACTCGCCCTAAATGACCAAAGCGATGCAATGCATTGCAAAGACGCTGAGCTCTTGGAGGAGAGTTCTGGAAGTTGAGGCCTCGGGCCAAGGTTGCTCAGCCGCAGCACCCTGAGTGCCAGCAGCACCCCCCCCCCCCAGGGTGACTACCAGAAACGTCTGCGGACATTGCCAGATGTCCCCTGGGGGGGGTGGGGCAAACTAACCCCTGATTGAGAACTATGGTCCTGGTCTCCAGCCAGCTGACAAGCTGTTGGGGCTCACGTCATGCTTTCATTCACTCGACGCTCTTCATTGAGCATCTGTTAGGTTCCAAGCTTATTCTAGGCATTGGGGATTCCATATGGAATCCAGGCACGGTCCCTGCAGTTCATCAAATGACGGCCCTGATGTGACCCAGGAGGAACAGGGCACCATGGCCCAGGCATGAGGCGGGACTCAGTTTCCCAACCCAGGTCGAGGTCAGAGGGAGCTGGGACCTGAAGGGTGACAAGAAAGTAGTCACATTTAGCTCAGAATCTGCCAGAAAGCAGACATTCCATAAGCACCTGATGAATGAATAAAGGTGTGACTGAGGGTGAAGATGGAAACCAGAAGGTGGTGGGCTGAGGAGTAGGTTTGAGGAGAGGACAGGACTTGTCTGGGAGGAAAGGCCGAACAGGGAGGAGGTGTGGCCCAGTGGTTGGGGCTCCACTCCTCACCGGCCTCGCTGACCGGCCACCAGCCACCGGCAAGTTCTGTCCCTCCTGTGCCCATTTCCTCCCCTGTAAATGTAGTTCATGATCCCTGCCTCAGAGAGTAGCTGGAAAGATTTCATGAGCTCGTACGTGGGGGGTCCCAGCCTGTGCCACAGAACCCATGGTGGGGCTCATTAGGTGGAGAGGGCGGCAGGGTGTAGGGGGGTGGCTAAGTTGGAAAAGACGCAGGTGTGTTTATAAGCCCAGGGGAAGGAGAGCATCAGTTGCATGTGGACGGTAATGACGCTCACGGGTCCCTCTGATTCAGTCCAGGAGGAGGTGATGCAGCAAGACCCCCCAGCAGCGCCTCCGATGGAGAGCAGTGTCAAAGATGAAGTATGTGACACCTTGATGTGAGTACCCAAGGGGTGTGTGCACACCAGGCCAGAGACACCCCTCCCCACCCCCGCTTCTGGCCATGTCGTCGAAACCTGAAAAAAAGGAGTCGAGTCTGGGGTCTTCTTGCTGTCATTTGAATTTCTCGATCCTCTAGCAGCTCAGGATGGCATCATGGAAAGATCTGGGTGGATCTATGTTCATATCCCAGCTCAACCCCTTGCAGGTGTGTGGCTCTGGGCAAGTCACGTCCCATCGCTGCATCTTAGCTTAATCACTTGTGAAATAAGCTGGTACTTGTCATAGCTCAGCCTCAGATTGAACCCAGCTGGGATCCTCTGTCCTATCTCCATATAT